TTGATCACTCATGTATAGCTCTATTTGTTTTCTCTAGAAACCACTCTGAATATACCAAAGTACAGTACAATAACCATTGATTATTTCCTACCATTTTTGTCCGTAACTCACTATTATTTGTCTATTTGTCTTCCTGAGAAACTATCTTGAAGATACCAACAGGTAAAATAACAACTATTGATAATTTCCTACCACTTTGTCTGTAATTCAGTAAGTCCCCCTATTACTATATTATCCTTCTTTTACTCTTTAAAATAAAAAAAAGATAACAATCATAAATATATATGCAGCAAATACTGGTGCACCCAACTACATAAAACAAATATTAAGAGACATGAAAAATCAATTAAGCACTTATACAATGGTAACAGGGGACCATAATACCCCATGTGCACTGACAGATCAACTAAACAGAACATCAACAAAGGAATATCAGAACTGAGCAAAACCTGTGAACAAATGGATTTAGTAGATGTCTATAGAGTGTGCCATCCCATGACATCAGAATACACATTTTCTCTGCTGCACATGTGACTTTCTCCAAAATAGATCATAGACTAGCCTGAAGAACATCCATAAGCAAACGCAAAGGAAATCATCCAATGCATATTATCTGACTATACTGCAATGAAAATGGAAATCAACAGCATAAGAAACCACAAAAACTTCATAAACACATGAAAATTAAACAACACCCTCCTGAATAACCAATAGGGGACAAATGAAATTAAATAAACAGTATCTATAATTAAATGATAATGTTGATACAACATACTAGAAATTACGGGACACAATGAAAGCAATCCTATGAGGGAAATTTATAGCAATGAATTCTCACCTCAGGAAAATAGAACAAGTTCAAATAAACCATAATAGAACCTCAAGCTTTTAGAAAAAAGAACAAATCAAGCCCAAAGCTCCTAGGAGGGAGGAAACAGTGAAGAGCAGAAATTAACACAATTGACACTAAGAAAACAATACAATGAATCAATGAATTTAAGAGTTGGTTCTTTGGAAGATGAAATAAAACTGATAAAACCTTAGCCAACCTTATCAAAAAAGGGGAAAGAAAAGACTCACATTCATGCAATGAGGAATGAAAAGGTAGAAATCATAAAAATCCTGTAAAAAATCCAGATGATTATCAATACCTATTTCAAGAACCTGTACTTTAATAAGATGTAAACACAGAGGAAACAGGCAGATTCCTATAGACACATGAAAGGCCAAAACTGAATCAAAAGACATAAAAATTCTAAATAACCCAGTATCAGCCAATAAAATTGAAAAATGTAATTAAGAACTTACCAAACAGAGAAAAGTCCAGGTGTTGATGATTTACTGCTGAATTCTGCAAGAAATTTAGAGATCTAATGCCACAAATGCTGAAACTCTAATGAAACTGAAAGAGAAGCAATTCTCCCAAACCCATTCACAGAGGCAAGCTCTACTCTGATACCAAAACCAGAAAAGGACCCAACTAACAAAGAGAACTACAGCCAATCTCCCTAGTGAACAGAGATGGAAAAATCCTCAATAAGATATGGCAAACAAATGCACTAAATCATAAAGATTATACACCATGACCAAGTAGGATTCATACCAGGGATGCAGGGATGGGTCAATATATGCAAATCAGTACATGTAATACACCATATCAACAGAGCCAAAGACAAAAATCATACGATCATCTCAATAGATGTAGAAAAAGTACTTAACGAAGCCCCCAAAAAGCATTTAACAAGTCCAACACCCATTCTTGATAAAAACCCCACTGAAAACTGCAATAGATGGTCTTTATCTCAATTTGACAAAAGCCATCTATGACAAACCAACAGATAACATCATACTAAATGGTCAAAAACTGAAAGCTTTCATGCTAAAATCAGGAACAGGACAACAATGTCCACTATCACTTCTATTCAATATAGTTCTGGAAACCCTAGGCAGAGCAACCACAGGGAAAAAAAAAAGAGAAAGAAAAGGAATAAAGGAAGGAAAGGAAGACGATAAATTATCATTATTTGCAGATGACATGATGTTCTACATAGAAGACTCCAAAAACCATGACTTGCAGATTTAATAACCAAATTCAATAGCATAATGGCAGACAAAATCAACACTCAAAAATCAATAGCATTTCTTTACACAAACAAATACACTAAGAAAGGTACTAAAGAAATAATACCTGCTACAATAGTATCACAAAAATTGAAATACTTAGGAATCAATCTAATGAAGTAAAACATCTATACATTGAAAATTACAGTACTCTGAAAAAGCAGATCTAAAAGGACATCAGATATGGAAAGATATCCCTTGCTCATGGGTAGAAACAATCAACATAGTGAAATGGCCATATTCTCAAAACTGATACACAGATTTAATACAATCCTAATCAAAACATCAGCAGCATACCTCACAGCACTACAGAAAACATTCCTAAAATTTCATTTGGAAACAGAAGATAGCTAGAATAGCAAAAACAATTTCGGGCAACAAAAGCAAGGCAGGGGCATCACAATCCTTGATTTGAAATTATAGTACAGAGCTCCTGTGAGAAACAGCACGGTACTGGCAAAAACAAAATAAAACAAAACAAAATACATTTTGTTATGAGACAAAAAGAGAAGAAGATGCAGAAACAACTTCAAAACACTCAGCCTCCTCATCTTTGACAAAGGGGCCGAACACATTTACTGAAAAAAACCCTCTGTAATAAATGGTGCTGGAAAACTCATGCCAAAGACTCATGTGTCTCACCATGCAGTAAACTAAAATCAAAATGTATCAAATATTTAAATATTAAAACAGAAACACTAAATCTGCTGGAAGAAAGAATAGGTAGAACCCTTGAATACAAACGTGCAGGCACAAATTTCATGACAAAACCCAGACTGCTTGGGAAATATTACAAAGAATCAACAAATGCAATCTCATTCTACTAAAAAGCTCTTGCAAAGCAAAGAGTTAATAGAACCCAGAGAGTGGGAAACAATTTTAGCCTGTTGTCCCTCAAAGGACTAATATCTAGAACACATAAAGAACTCAAAAAAATCAGATTCCCCAAATTTAAAGACCCAATCCAAAAAATGGGATTCTGAGATGAATACACACTTCTCAGAAGAAGAAATACAAATGGAAAATAAATATATGGAAAAATGTTCAACATCACTAGTCATTCAAGAGATGCAAATTAAAACAATGCTGAGATTCCGTCTCACCCCAGAAAGAATGGCTACCATCAAGAAATCAACTAATAACAAATGCTGGTAAGGTTGTGGGGGAAAAAGGACCCTTTCTCCACTGTTGGTGGTTCTCTAGACTGGTACAACCACTGTGGAAATCAGTGTGGAGATTCCTGAAAAAAAAACTAGGATTAGAGGTCCCTTTTGACCCAGCTATTCCCCTTCTGGGTAACTTCCCAGAAGAATTAGAAACACCATACCACAGCCATATATGTGCACCCAGGTTCATAGCAGCACAGTTTGTAATAGCTAAATCTTGGAAACAACCCAAATGCCCATCAACTGAGGAATGGTTAAAAAAGATGTGGTGTTTTTATATAATGGAGTACTACTGAACTATAAAGAAGGAAAAGCTTGAGGCTTTTATAGGTAAATGGATGCAACTAGAGACCACAGTCATAAGTGAAATAAATGGGACACACATTTGTAAACATCACCTTGTCTGGCGTGAAAAACCAAAAGTGTACCTGGGCTACAAAGTGAGCTCAAGGCCAGCCTGAACTGCATACGGAGACCCTGTCTCAAAAAGACAAAAAAAAAAAGAAACCAAAAGTTTAAATAATGACCAAAGTGTACAATAGCTATTGCAAAATAACAAGAAATTGTTCAAAAGAAATGGAAACTAGGGAGTGGCACAGGGGAAGGAAGGGAAAAGAAAAAAAAGAAAGGACAAAATGGTAACAAAGGTTTGTAAATGAGGAGGGGAAGAGGGGCTGAAGGGAGGGTAGGGGATTGGGGAAAAAAAAAGAAGAATCTATATATATAGCTACAAATTCCCTATGATGAATATGATCACTGTGCATATCTATACTGTACCAATAAACTTAAAAAAGTAGCTTTGTGCACATGGATCAAAAAATGCTAGAAATAAAACTACATATTCCTTGATTCTTTTCAATTAGAATCAATTGTACCAATTAGGTACAATTACCTACTTATTCTGTCACAAGCAAAATAAGATTCTCTATCTCCACCATCTCTGCCAACATCGTATTTTAAAAAACCTCCTGAGCGTGAAATGGTGTCACACTGGTGACTGTAAACAAAGACTGATGTTTTCTCCTTCCTACTCAGGGAAGAGCCTACCTCCACCGTGTGTCTGTTCTTATCTCTGGTTCATTTTTCCTAATTTGTAGCTGTTTTTCCTAACAGAAATCATCTGCATATTATATATTGCAAATACCTACTCTCAGTTATTGAAATTATTTTATCTTGGGGGTGGTACTGGAAATGGAACTCAGGACCTCCTGCTTGCCACTGAGCTATCTCGCCGGTCCTCTTAAACTGTTACATTAAGGCATGAAGATGTTTTACAACCCCAACACTCCTCCCTCTGGTACTAGGGATTGAATCCAGGGTCTTGGTACGGAGTCATATCCCCTGCCCTTTTCTTTCTTTCCTTTCTCTTTTCTTTTCCTTTCCTTTCCTTTCTCTTTTCTCTTCTTTTTTCTTTTCTTCTTTCCTCCCTCTCCCTCCCTCCCCCTCTCTCTCTTTCTTTCAAATTTTGAGACCAGGTCTCACCAAATTGCTAAATTGCCCTGACTGATCCTCCTGCCTCAGCCTTCCATAGTGTTGGGATTATAAGCACTGTTCTACCTTGCCTGGACAAACATGTTCAACATTTTGATGCAAATTCATCACTATTTTCTTCTGGTGTTTTAAGAACTCTTCAACTGCCATGGTAGAAGAAAAGTTTCCTTACGGCTGAATCTCTTCTGGCATTTTCACTATTTTTTATTATATTTCACAAACCTTAATTGACCACCAACTGCTTCAATTCCTCGGGTTATCTTGAAAGATGAAGCACCTTTTGTAGTCTTGAAAAAGAAAGAAAAATTTTCTTAGTAGTTTTTCAATGCTAAGTTTGCCAAACACTGTACAGTATCAAAACCTGTGTAACTGCTAGTAGGAGATTCAGAAGAACTTTACTAAATAGTAGATCCTTTTAAGAATTATATGCAAAGATAATACATTTTTATGTAAAAAGTTCTATTATCAGACACAAGCTTATAGTCCTTATTCTTTTCTGAAAGAGAACTGCGTATGGGAAAGAAGACTTCTTTCCATTTTTGGCACTTTCTTTTTAAAAATTTTTACTGATTTCTTACGTTCTAATTCTAATGAAAAGCTGGCTACTAATATAATGGTTCTCTGTAGCGAGTATCTGTGGTTTCTCATTTTATGTGAGGGGATTTTACTGGGTTGTATAGTGTCTCCAAAACGCATATCCATTCACAAGCTAGGGATGTGTCTTTATTCGGAAAAAAGGTCTTTGCAGGTTTATTTAAGAAGAGCTTACACTGAATTAGGGTGGGCTTTAAACCCAGAATGACTGATGTGCTGACAGGAGTGAAATTTGGATACAGGGACACAGACAGAAGGAAGGCCAGATGACAACGGCAGCAGACATGGAATGATATAGCCATAGTAAGCAAAGGATGGTTGTGGAGAAGGACAGTCTTTAGTTAATCTTTCAATGAAATACCTCAGGCCTGATCAAGCCGTATGATTGTTTGGAGGAAGTCTAGCAAAAGCAGTGGTGTAAAGGAAATTAACTGTAGGACCTGTGTCCCCGTAGAAAGCCTGGGGACAACACTAGATGCTCTGCTGAGACATGCCCGAAGGAATGATAACATGATGGCTAACTAAGTCAAGTCTCATTCCTGTGATAACTGAGTTGTATTGTCCTTGCTAATAAACCTGTTGATATCCTCCCAATTGCCCTACTGCCTCCTTTGTTCTTTCTCAATAAAAGGTTTCTGAGAGGCTGCAAGCCCCTGATCCCATAACTGTCTCTCTCTTATTTTTCTTTTCATCTGCGGGCACCTCCTTCTCGGGACCTGTCACCCCAGACAGAAACAGAATATAGACCGGCAGATGGTTGGCACCAGAAGCTAGGCAGAGGCAAGGAAGGATGCTTTTCCAGTGCCTTTAGAGAATGCGTGGACCCGGTGACACCTTGCCTCATCACGTAACACCCAGACTTTGACTTTTAGCCTGTAAAACTGAGGATAAATTATAGGTACTATGGTTTGGCTCTGAAACGTCTTCCCAAATCACATGAATTGATGTCTTGGTCCCCAAGGCAGCAATGTTTAGAGATAAGGGCTTTTGGAAGGTGACTGGATCACGACGGCTCTAATTTCATCAGTGGATTTAATGGATTCGTAATTTGACGGTATTATTGCAAGGTAAGGGAAACTTAGGAGACAGAGCCTAGTTGAAGGGAATGGTCACGGTTAGGATGTTGGGGATATCCTGTCCTCCAGCCCTTCTTTTTGGCTCTGGCCATCTCCCTCTGCTTTCTTGCTGCTGTGAGGTGAGCAGCTTTCCTTTGACATGCCATTCTGCCTTGCCACAGGCCTAAAAGCAAAAGGGCCAGTCAACTGTGGTCTGAAGCTGTGAGCCAAAGTAAGTCTTTCCTCCTCTAAATTGATTTTCAGTTATTTTGTCACAGTGACAGAAAGCTAACGTACAGAGAAATTGCTTTTAATTTTTTTTCCTCACAGGACCAGGACACTACAGCATTTCCTAACACCGAAGTAACAGATACTTACCAAAGTGGATGCAAGACGTAGCAAGTGGGAAGTCCCTAAACTGTTGGAGTCCTCATATCGACTGCCTGCTTTAATGAACACACCAATTCTGGATGCAGGAGCATAGTTTTCCAGAGATGCAATCACCAAACCATTTGGTAATTTGGTAAACTGTATTTGAAATAAAGTAGATGCAATTAGTATCTTTACATTACCAAGGAAACTAAGGTATGTACGGGTTCCAGTGCACAACTCATTGGACTAACCTCAAGGTCCTGCGGATGTGGAGGCACTCCTGCAGGGGCAGCTGTGGCTTTAACTCTGGGGGCAACTTTGAGGGAATAAAATCTCTAAACACAAAAAAGACAAGTTACACACGTTTCTCACAAGAACATTGTATAAAAATAATTTATCTTTGTGTTGCTAAGTGACAAAGAGCAATAACAATCTCCACGAAAGGTTTTACTAAATGGTACTGTGGACTTATGAACTGACCAGTTTACCCAAGCCATTCTTAAACTTTTATTTGTAACTGACAGAGAATACTGAGTGTTCCCGCCCTCTCTAACGGGGTCTCATTCTGTAGTCTAGACTGCCCTGGAACTTGCAAGGTAGCTCAAGTTGGCTCTGATTCAAGATCCTCCTGCCAAGCCCCTCTGAGATTAAGGGCCTGCATCACACGCCTAGCTAGAGAATATTGAGTTCTCCATGTTCACTTTTTACTATGTGAAGAATAACTATTTCCTTATTTTTTAACTATCTTACCAAAGTTTCAAATTGTTCCCTTAGCGCTGCTTTGGAATTTTTTGAGAAAATGTCAGACTGCAAATTGACAGCCTTTTACAGACTTTAGCTTTACTGTTTCCCTAATCTTCCCAGTGAAACTCACCATTTTAGTCTATTTTCCACCTGAAATGACTTCATGCCTTCCATTATTTTAGTAATCTAAAAAAAGCCAAAGCACACGAACGAAAACGCATTCACTTTATCCAGTCTTTCTGGCAAATGATATACAGTGTCATAAGTGATTCTGCTTATGCCTAAGACTCATAGGGTTACTAGTGGAGATGTTGAGTAAATAAAATTTGGTGCTCCTAAGATCCAATGAACACGTTGCTGGAGTTTCCCGAGGTCTCCCATCAGAATCTACAATGCCTCTACTCTGCCCTGTCTCAATGCTGATGCTGTGCACTTGGTATCAGCGCTGTACTTACTTGGCTGCTGGTTTTCATCTGCTCTTAGTATTACTTTTTTTCCCTCCTTAGTACTGCTTTTTATTTTTTATTTTTTTTTTAAAGAGAGTAGTATATGAGAAACAAACAAAAATAGAACAGTAGCAGAATACAGTATCATGAACACAAACAAATCGAAGCAAAAACATTCAAAGTGATAGAGAGTCTCAAGACAAATTAATACAAATCAACACTGGTTGTTACATAGTACTGCTTTTTAATTATAAATTATAAGTAGCTCTGCTTTTTATTATCTGTTTTTTCTGGGTGTGGAATAGGTAGCCCTATTTTCAATTTAGACTTTTGGTTTTGCAAAAAGCAAATTTCTTTTGGTACCGGGAATTGAACTCAGGACCTCATGCTTAAAAAGTAAATTTTATGATGTATGGTCACAGCACTTCAAAGACAAGTATCTATATAATTACATGACCACGCAAGATACACGTGTTTTCCACTCAGATGTACCTGAATAATAACACTTATTATGTGTTTATTTGCCCCCTTAGAAATCAGGAATAACCCTAGTAGTTGTTATAGAATTAGTAGATCATCATCATTATTCTTAGCAGTGGAATTGTTAGGTGATGATGATGATTTGCAGCAGAATTACTAGATTATTATTTTCTTGCAGTAGTGGCAATGTATCTAGGCAAGCATCCTACTACTAAGCTGCATCCCAGCTTTTTTATTTTCAGACAGCATCTTGCTAAATTGCTTAGGTTGGCTTCAATCTTTTAATCCTCCTGCCTCAGCCTTCCAAGTAACTGGGATACAGGCTGCTGCCACCATGCCTGGCTAATTATTTAATAATACAATATGTACGCACTTATTTTCATGTAAGATAAGTGCTATAGTCAGAAACAAGTAATTGCTTTCAGGTTTACTTTAACTTGTTTACTTTGGTCCTCTCCACCTGGTATCTGAGCTCTTTTTCCTACTGGAACATAGAAAGGAGTTTGTCAGTCTAACTGGGCTGTCCGTAAAGGGCTGTCACTCACCGGTTAGTCTAGGCATGCCAGGAATACAATTAAAGCCTAAATTTGTACAATCCACCACACACTCATTTAAACATAAAACACAAGGACATTCCACTCCCGCGTCTGCATTTCCCTCTTGCAGGGTTTCTCCAAGTTAGCAAAATTTTGCTAACCGTTCACTGGGCGCAAATTGTCCCTTGCTGAAAATTTTAAAAACACGTCCTCTTGTGACAGCTGTGTTTAATTTGGGCTTGCGAAGGATCCTTACGCAGCTTTTGAGACTAAACCGAGGACTCCTCATGAAGGACTCCTCTACCAAGAAATTTAGAGAAAATACTCGTTTTTGCCACAACACCATGGTAAGTGACAGCGAATGAGGTTCCAGGTATTGTGATAAGCGCCATGTCCGCATTCGCTTATTTCTTACACTTTTATTCATAGACCCATTTAGCCGGTGGGAAACTGAGGCTGCAAGAGAAGCCAAGAGGCGAGGCCGCGGCTGCTGCGGGATAAGCGGCAGGCCGGGTCTGCGCCGTCCCCGCGGCCCTCGCTCCGCCCGGGCTCGGCCGGGGGCGAGTGACCTTCGGCGCGCCCCGCTCTCACGCCCGCCCCGCCCTCAGGGAAGGCGGCCTGCGCTCCCCGGCTCACAGCTCGAGCCGAGCCTCCGACACCCGGGCCGGAACGCGGCCCGCTGGGCTCCCAAGGTTCCGCTGAAGGGCGAACGGGAGCCGAGGAGCCGGGACCCCACGCCGGGTACTTCCGGGCTGCACCACCCGGCCGACAGTCGGCTTTCCAGACTTTTCCCAGACCCGCCAACTGTGCTCACCGAAAAGGACCCGGCTCTGGTTAGCAGCTTCATGGCTCAAGACGGCTCGGACCCACGGTCACCGCCGAGTTCAGAGAAAGCAAGATGGTGGCCGCGGCCCGGAGTGTCCCAGCCTGCCCCGCGAGAGGCTTCCCACGCCCCCCTCTGAGGAGGGCTTTCTAGGCAGACGGCGCTCTACTGCTCCCCGGAGAGGGTTGGACCGGTCCACCTCCTCCAAGACGCAGGGTAGGGAGACACATAATTCGTAAAAATATACAGAAGATAATTTAGGTTACGGCTTTTGAGTTTGTTTTCCAGACTGAATGTCCATTCGTTAAACTTTTCGAATTACGTCCGACAGCCCGTCAGAACTCCCCCCGCCAGTTTGGACTTCTCCGACCTGAACTGTCCAATGAAACAACGCCCTTTGCAGGGCTCCGCAGGCGCTCTCCCCGCCCACGCCGGCGCTTCCGGTCCCTGCGCGCTGGTCCCGTTAGGAGGTCCTTTCAACTTCCGTTCTGCGGAGGGCTGGGGCCCCGGAGCTCGGAGGTTGCTTCTTTCTTGGTGAAGTCCTCACTAGGTCCTTAGTGTCGTGAGAGCAGAGGCTGTGTGCCGACGTTAGCCGCCGTGGTAACCCCAAAACACGCCGGGGACGCTCTAACGTCGGCCCTTTGCCCGAGGTGATCATCGCTAAGTAAGGTCTCTGCTCTCGGGACTTGTATCCGAGGCTCGCCTTGTAAAGAAAACAAAACGAATAACTAGTTTTTTGTGTCTTTAATACTAGGAGGCGAATGAGCGGAAACCTGCATATGGAGAAAGGCAGGTGATGATACGGGAGAGGGCGGGAGAACCGACTCTGCGAGTGTTAACTAAAGCGACCTGTGCCTGGCACAGGACTGAATGAAAGGTGAAGGCGTGATCCCCGTCTCCCAGGGACCTACAGGCTTGTGCTTTGGTTGCCACGTTGGAAGACTATAGTATTGGCATCAGTATCTCTCGAGTTTTCTAGGAGTACAGCGCAGCATCTCCCATGTTAGATCTGGGTCTGTGTTTTTACAGGACCTGGCGTGAACCGTATGCACATTAACGTTTCAGAGAGGCCGGTAGTGTAGACATTACAAGGCACAGGCAAACTTGTGTTTTCTTTTGCTTCTGTCTGAATTGTTTCACGACTACAACTGTATCAAGTGGATGTAGCCGTTAAGAACCTGTGCCAACCCAATTTCTGTGCCTTCAACACTTTCACTCCCCAATCTATACAGTAGATTCCCCGGATGTGGTAGACTTACTCTAGTGATGCATGAGATGATTATAAATTAGCACACGAATAAACGTTGTTCCATTTTAATGACTATATATTGTGTTATGGCAAGCAATCCCGGTAAATGAATTCCTTAAATACATTTATTAAAATATGTTGGCTTAAAAAGGTTAAGTGGCTGTTGACGATATGGAGGTATGGCACAAATCGTGAATGTGTTACCTACTGAATGAACTGTGGGACACACTCCTCTTTTCAAGTTGTCTACTTCGCTGTCTTATCCATGTTTTTCTGGATAAAGTTCACATTTATTTATATATTACACAAAGCTCTGTCTCCAGTATCTCTGCCCCTCTCAGGGGTGGGGTGGAGATTGAAGCCAGGGCTTTTGCACAGAGCTACATCCTCAGCCCTTTTGAAATTTTGAAACAGGGTATTGCTAAGTCGCTAAGTTGTCCAGGCTGGTCTCTAACTTGCCATCCTCTTGTCTTGGCCTCCCAGGATTACAGATGTGCTCCATTATGCCCAACTACCATATTTTTTAGCCACTGCCTCCCAATTCTGCACCCCCAGGAGTCCAGTCATTGGAACTTCATCATCCAGCAGTTCAGGTCAGGCGGGAGCAACACACACATCCCTGAGTGGTGCACACATCCTTTCCTACATTTAGAGACCTGCACCTACTTTAAGTGTCCCTTATTCTTAGGTTATTACATCCACACATCCAAACATAAGTGTGACTCAAATCACATCCAAACATAACTGTGACTCAAATATCCTAAAGAGGACAAATCTGTTCAAAAAGTAGTAGGATTTTGAAATAAGAGTAAGTCATGATATCAGCTACATAAATCAAAATCATTTTTTTGAGACAGTTTTGCTTTGTATTTCAGGCTGGCCTCAAACTCACGGCAATGCTCCTCTCTCAGCCTCCCAAGTGCTAGGATTATAGGCGTGGGCCACCACACATAGCCAAAATCTTTAGTTAAACTTGCAAAATTTTTTAGTAAACTTTCAACTACAAAGTAGGAGTGCCATCTTGTGGACAGATCTACCACTTTCACATCCTACTATGCCCTACCAACTTCATAATGGCTCTTTAAGTGGAGGCTTTTGCCACAACCGGAGTGTTCTATTGCAGAAGAAAAGAGAATCTTTGAAATTGTTTCTGCATAGGAGATACTGAAAACCTTGGAAGATGAAACAAGCACATGGTAAGAGAGTAGACATACATGGAAGACCAGATGAGTGCATTTTTTGAAAGCTCTAATTGTTTTATTAATGAGTCTAATTGGACTCTATGGAGCCCACCTTCCTACTCTGAGCTCAGGTGGGGTGGGTGGGTAAGTGTATGCATGTTGGGTGTGGGAGAATGTGAGAAATGAGATGATAGTGGGACAAAACAGGCCGTGGAGTGTGGTTTGAGTTTGTACTTGGGAACATTATCTTGCATTTTAGGGTCAGAGGCGTTAATTTTGGCTCTTTCCAAATGTGTGATTTTGATGTTAGCATTTCCTTCCCCATTCTTCTCAGAATTTTTCCCAAATACTATCACTGATGAAATCTTCCCTGGCTACTGTGGATTGGAGACTTTTTCTTCTGTCTCTGAACTTTACTAACTTACATTGGTAATTGCATTTATATTTTTTCTCCCTAAACTAGATTAAATAAAACGCTGTCAGAAGTTTCAGACATAAAACATTTAATTAACTTTCATTTGCCTATTGCCCAATTTCAAGCATAAACAACATTTTTCTTTCTTTCATTTTAAGCTCCTTAATAAAGGGAACTATGCCTTACAAATGTTTAAGATGACTTCAATCATAACGGCAGGTTATTTTTGACACCTTCATGAAGTGGCCAAGGTCTGAAGTCAAAGCAACCTTAGTAAATGTTTATTCTCCTATTTTCTCCTGAATCTGTGTGCATTTTCTAGTAAGCATAAAAACACATCTTCTGTCTTAGAATGTCTGTCTTCACTTTTCTCTTGGTTCTGTGCAGGATCTGAGTGAGTGTGATAAGTACCTCATTGCTTGGTGTCAGTTATAAAGGGGAGAAGCCAAGTGAGATCACGTGTATCAGAACACCACACCAGCACTTTATTTAGAATGAACATTTGGAATGGTCTGGGAGAGGACCCTGCTCTCGGTCATACAATGTCTGATTAAACTTCATGATAACAATAAAATCTAAAATTTTCAAGTTAAGCTCGTGTATCTTCGTTTAAATTATTTTAAGACTCAAGTAACAAAAGCTATTTTGACAAAAGTCTTGACATTGGTAAGTTTAGGACATAGAAAGAGAAAAATATGTTTATCAGTCTGTTGATGGTCTTGTTTGAATGGCTCTATGACAAGATACACTGCTATGTAGTAATATTTTGTACTGTCAGGAAAAATGTCTATTTATCACTTCTTGTTGTTTTGAGACAGGGTCTCCTGTGTAGCCCAGACTGGCTTGGAACTTGTGACTTTCCTGCCTCAGCCTCCCAAGTGCTGGGATTACAGACATGTGCCACCACACCTGGTTCCTCTTATCACCTTTAAACTCACATTAATGATTCTGTGGTAGGCTTAGACCATTTTTCCCCAGCCCAACGCCAAACATGACACTTCCATCAAAATTATGTGGGTACTTGTGAAAAGGAAGATTCCTGGGTTCCGCACTACACTTGATTTAGCCAGAATCTCTAGAGTTAGGAATCCGGGACTCTGCATTTTAAACAAATGCCCTTACATGATTCTAGCCACTAATGTTTTGGGAACAGCTGGCTTCACCTGGTATGAGGACATACTAGAAGTATACACCATGAAATTCTTGCTTGCTCACACGCAAAAGTAGTATAGAAACAGAATAGAAAACTTGCAGTAATGTTTAGTTTCACAACTTACAGCCCTTCTGCCTACTTTTGATGAATTCATTCTAGAGTTTGGATTCTGCTTACCCTTGCACCTACCTGCTCTGTACTACCCTTTGCTCCCCTTCCTTCTGCTCAATGAAGCAATGTCATGATGTTTAGAAATATTGAAGTACTGAACTTGGCCATTGCTTTCATTCCTTTCCTGTCCTCTGTCCTACAATACTATTTTCTTTTTCTTTACATTTAATTTTTTAAATATCTGCATTTGGAAAAGCCTTTTTTTTTTGTAACTAGGGTGATTATATAGTTATTGGAACTGGGACAGTTTTGAGAATAAAGGGAAGAATTAGACATACTCAAGAGAAATGAAGGCGTATGTCTACTCAAAAGTTTTCGTGTGATGTTCACAGTAGCAGCATTTACAATAGCCAAAATGTGCAACCAACCTAAACTGCTGAGTGGGTAAATAAATGTACTATTATCCACAGAAGAGATTAAACAAAATGTAGGTAGTAATTAAAAAAAAAAAACAAAATACTGGTACGTGCTACAACATGGATACTGTGTGGGTAGAATAATGGAGCCAAAGAAGTCCATATCCTTGTTTCTGGCTTCTGTGAATAAAGTGTGTTGCAGGGGAAAGGGACTTTACAGATGTGATTAAGTTAAAACTCGAAGGCGGGCAAGATTACCTGGATGGACCCAGTGTAATCACAAGGATTCTTGTGGGAGGTACAGCAGAAGGTCAGGTTGGTGCAGTGACGAGCCAAGGTAGCCCCTAGAAGCTGGAGAAGCAAGGAACGGGCTTTCCTCTTCAGCCTTCAGAATGGACACAGCTCTGTTGACATTTCAAGTTTTATCCCTGCAAGTTCTATTTTGTGCTTCTGATTTCTAGAAATCTGACAGTTTCGTGTTGTTCTAAGCCACTAAGTCTGTGGTAATTTGTTACAGCAGCAATAGAAAACTAGTACAAACCTCATGAATATTATGTAAAATGACAGGCTCCTGACACAAAAATCCAATGATTCCATTCATATGAAATTCCATTTTGGCCCATAGTTACCCTTTTGATTACTCACACCAGTGAAACAAAGCATGTCCAATTTATTTCTCTTAAGAGTATGCTCTGAAGGTGCAACCATTTAACTTAATGTCTTGAGTTTATTCTTCCTTATGGCTGAGTAGTACTCCATTGTATAAAAAACCCACCTCTTCCTTATTTGTTCATTGGTTGATGGGCATTTGGGCTGTTTCCAAAATTTAGGTATTAGAAATTGTGCTGCTATAAACATGGGTATGCATGTATCACTGTGGTTATGATGCTTTTAATTCTTTTGGGAAGATACCAAGAAGGGAACAGCTGGGTCAAATGGAACCTCTAGTTTTACATTTTGAGGAACTTCCACACTGATTTCCACAGTGGTTACACCAATCTAGACTCCCACCAACAGTGGAGAAGGGTTCTTTTTTGTGTACAGCCCTGCCGGTCTTTGTACTGAATGATTTCTTGATGATAGCCATTCTTCCTGGAGTGAGATAGAATCTCGGTGTTGTTTTAATTTGCATCTCTCGAATGACCAGTGATGTTGAATACTTTTTAATATATTTATTTTCCCTTTCTACTTCTTCATCTGAGAAGTATCTATTCATTTCACTTTTTATTATTTATTTATTTATTGTTTTTTTTCCAGTACTGGGAATTGAACTCACAACCTTGAGCTTGCCAGGCAGGCGCTATGCTGCTGAGCCCCCAGCCCCTCATTTCAGATGCCTATTTTTGGACTGGGTCTTTAAATTGGGGGGATCTGATTTTTTGAGTTCTTTATATGTTCTAGATATTAGTCCTTTGAGGGACAGTTGGCAATTTTTTTTTCTTTTTCTTTGGGTGGTCTCTTTACTCTATTGGTGGTTTCTTTTGTTGTGCAAAAGCTTTTTAATATGATGAGATCCCAGTTATTGATTCTTCGTGATATTTCCTGTGTTCCTAAAGTCTTTGCTTGCACCTGTGTCTTTAAGAATTTTACCTATTTTATCTTCCAACAGATTTAGTGTTTCTGTTTTAATATTTAAATCTTTGATCCATTTTGATTTTAGTTTAGTGCATGGTGAGAGACATGGGTGTAGTTTTAGTCTTTGGCATGTGGAAAGCCAGTTTTCCTAGCACATTAATTAAAGAGGCTATCTTCCTTCCAGTGAAAGCATTTGGCCCCTTTGTAAAGTAAGGTGGCTGAGTTGCTTAGAATTGTTTCTGCATCTTCTGTTCTGTTCCACTGACCCACAGGCGTTTATGTTTTTGACAGTACCATGT